TGTGCAGGGATCCCAGCATCCAAAAGACATGCTCCACACCTCGTTCTTCTTTTTCGCTGGTAATGAGATCTCTCTTGGTTCTGAAATGGCTGGTTTTACACCCAACAAGATGGCCATCACAATTAACCCTATTAGCAGTCGTTTTCAACTGAATCAGGTAATCCAGACAATATCTCCTCGTCTTACCCAAATCCATCAGGAAAAAGGAAGATTGTCTAGTGGCTATAGCTAGAAGAGCCATTTTAAATAATTCACTGCATTGTAGGCAGATAGTACTATGTGGTATAAATACTGGCTGAATTTTGAATAGGTTCTCAACCTGTGGCATGCGACCCCTTTGGGATCGAAGGACCCTTTCCCAGGGGTTGCCCGATTCATAACAGTAGCAAAATTACAGTTATGAAGTAGGAACAACAATAATTTTATGGTTGAGGGAGGGGGGTCACCACAACATGAGGAACTGTATTAAAGGGGCGTGGCATTAGGAATGTTAAGAACCACTGGGTTAAAGTAATAGGAATTTATCGTGCTTATTCATTTATAGACCACTACAATCTCTATGTTAGAAACTGCATGTCCAATGGAACAGAACCCAGAATCACCATATAGTTAGTGCCTTGATGCTCCCCTCGCAGTGACGTGACAGTTTTTGATCTGTTGGGTAGGGATCTGCACCTGAAAGAACTGACCCAGGGGGAACCGATGAGAAGGATCTACATGTGACCTCCTCCCTGGGGGATGGACAACAGAAAAGTGGGTGAAGGGAGATGTCGGACAGGGCAAGATATGACAAAATAACAATTTGTAATTATCAAGGGTTCATGAGGGAGGGGGAGCGGGGAGGGAGGGGAAAATGAGCTGATGCCAGGGGCTTAGGTGGAGAGCAAATGTTTTGAGAATGATGAGGCCAATGAATATACAAATGTGGTTTACACAATTGATGTATGTATGGATTGTGATAAGAGTTGTATGAGCCCCTGATAAAACGATTTAAAAAGAAAGAAAGAAAACTGACCCAGGAAGTTTCCCCCTGGCACTTAGGGTAAAGTGCCATGCTTGGGTAAACAGAGCTGCATAGAAAGGGAGATCAACTGTAGGCGGCAATGCAAGGGCTGGGCTAAAGGTGGGCATGTACTTGTGAAGACTGCGCAGACTGGCACTGTGCAGAGTGCTGTGTCACTGGGACAGTGGATGCTGTCAGTGCAGTCGCCTATACCCCAGGGGGATGATTGACAGCAATGCTGTATGGTTTTGTTTATGTGGGTTTTTGTTTTCCTGCCTTTAGCTTTTTTTTCTCTTTTCTTTCTTTTTCTTGCGCTTGTTGGCTGGTTGGTTTGTTGCTGTTATTGGTGTAATTGGTCTTATGGAGTTTTGATTTTGTCATATTACGGCTGCCAAAGTAAAACTGAGTCACACAAATCCCATGGACATGCAGATGGATTCTCGCTTCTTAGTTAACTCTAGCCCCAGTCTAAGAACAGTTCGTTCTGATAATATGGCCCTGCTCCACATTCATGTTCATGAAATGATCACTAAAGATAAGGGTGCTACAACAAAGTGTGGTGAAGAGAGCCCATGGTGCCCAGCTATCAAATTGAAATAGTGTCTGGGGTCTTTAAAGCTTGTATTCAAAGAAGCAGCCATCTAAGTGAGGAGTCAACTAAGTCCACATGGAAGAAGCACATCGGTTTTTGTGATCCAACGATGAAAATAACAAAATTCAAAAATGATGAAGGGAAAAGTATCAAAGCTAAAATTATGAACACTGAAATGGTACAGGGCTGTGGAGGGCAGTAGGAGCCCAAAACCCATCTGCATAGTAGCTAGTTAGATTAATCCACTGGCAGACCCCCACTAACCACAGACAAGGGTCTCAAACAGCCTTAATTTCTGACCATAACATTCTCATCTTGATTATGCTAGATCAAACTTGATATTTGGTCAGCTGACCTTCCTATTGACCCAACCTGAATTGTTCTCGGTGCAAGTATCTCTTGTGTGATCCATGACAATAATGTCTTCCCTGGCTTTTTAAATATTGATGTTGGTCTTTTCTTTCCTATACATTATTTGTATTTTCATACTGTTATTTTATCCTTACCACATTATTATGGTTTGTTGTTTTTTTAATTCTCCTATTCGGTTGCCCAGTTTGAAGCACAGAAGGAGTGGATGCATAGAGATAATAACTGATGCAAGGGTTTATAGGAGATGTAGAGGTGGGTGGTGGGAGATAGGGAGGGTGAGGGGATTTCTGGAGTAAACAGTGAAAATGGGAGTGGGGAGGGAACACTAGAACTGACCTTGATTATACAACATATTTTAAAGGTAATTTATCCAGGGGAGGGGGCGTTCCTAACATTGACTCTGGTAATTATTGTACAATTCTTCTTGATATGATTGAGTAATTGAACTATTGAGTGGTATCATAATGTGGATTAGGTGACCAATAAACATGTAAAAAAAAAACTACAATTTGAGTCTAGAGGAAAAGTAAAAGAACAGATTTCAAATATTTAAATGTCTTTATTATATTGTACATCTTCTAAAATGGAGAAGTACTTTTCCATTAAAATTACATTTTTTATTCCTATCATGTAGTCTTCAGTTTTATAGCTGTTGCTTCATTAAAATTTAGTTTATGTACACTCTCCAAACCAGAGTGCAATACATTGTGTACGTCTTCTCTTCAGTGGTAAGGATTTAAAAAAGAACCAAAACTGTGTCATAACATTGGTTAATACGATGCCTTTGTAACCTAAATCTCTGCACTGGAAGTAAAAGGATAAGGTTTAACTTTAAAATACAGTATGAAAAATTCATGATCACCCTTTCCTTAACACAGACATATTCTTTCTCATCAACTATACCGACCATAATGCAAGGTGAGAATTAACCACAGCCCATTACACTTTTTCCAGTATTAGTAATTGCTCCTAATTCACCACTCTTCAGATACCAAAACCTAGGGACCCAGTGGTCCTGAAAAGTATGTACTGAGGAAGTATATTAATATCTATCATCAACTTCACTCAAAGAGAAAGAAGCAATTAGAATGGCCGTGATACTGTATTTGAATTTCCTAGAGTTTGAAGCGTTGAATTGATTTATCTCAATTTATCTTCACAATTCTGAAATAAGCAGAGCCGGTATCTGCTCCATTTTCACAGCTTTTTGGCAGAGTATGAACTTGGCCCCTAGACCAGTGCTCTGTCTATGATAATACCTTCTTGGGTTTTACTTGGCTATATTTATATTGAATTTCAGTAGCTGTGTTTTAATTTTTTCATGCCTTTCCCCCACATGTTCCCTTTTGTATAAGGTCCAACCCCCTTCACTTTCAATTTGTCCGTCAAACTTGACTCCCATCGAGTCTGACTGCAGTGTTCTCAGACTCACTGTCCATCTTTCTAACAGTTATTTCTCATATCTTTCACTGTAGTTACTTGCTTAACTCTATAATTTATAAACAATCTTCACTTTTCAGAATGGTGCTGGATCAACGCTGAAATTATGCAAAGTGATCTTGAATACTAAGAGGAAAATGATCATTGTTCCCGTCACATTTTTGCGATTCTCTTACTGCCTATTACAACATAGATATTGAAGCAAACAGAGTAAACTAACATTGATTTAGAATGCTGTAACTAAGAGCATTAGAAATGTTGAGCCTTCTCTGTGTGAAAACTTCACCAGGGATAAGTTGTTTGAATGGCACTTGGTCCCTTCTACTTGTCTTATAATTTACAATAGAGCATGGGCTGCTTTTCTTACCATATCAAAGGTCATCATCTTTGGGAACTTTGCATCAGTTTCCAATATTTTATCCTTTGTACTTCAGTGTTGTGGAATTAGACCTTTCTTTAATGAAAATTTTTTTGCTGGAATAGTTCTATGTAACATCATATCACAGTCACTTTTCTCATTTATGTTCATAAATTTGCCTTCATTAAATTCTTAAAGTTCTGGGAGGGAGGATGGGTTAAAAAGGGGGAACCGATCACAAGGATCTACATATAACCTCCTGCCTGGGGCATGAGCAGCAGAAAAGTGGGTGAAAGGAGACAACGGGCAGTGTAAGATAAGAGAAAATAATAATTTATAAATTATCAAGGGTTCATGAAGGATGGGGCAGCAGGGAGGGAGGGTGGGTGGAAGGAAAATGAGGAGCTGATGCCAGGAGCCCAAGCAGAAAGTAAGAGTTTTTAGAATGATAGGGCAACGAATGTATAAGTGTGCTTTACACAATTGATGTATGTGTGGATTGTGATAAGAGTTATATGAGCCCCAATAAAATGATTTTAAAAAAATTCTTAAACTTCAGCTGTGTCAACATTTTCATAGTCAGCTATTTCTTCTGGACTTCTGTTTATGTTCAGTTTATATTTGATTATCAATATTTCTTTGTCAGTTTATCAATTTTATCAATTCTTTAAATTACCCATTTTTGTATGCTTTTAGAGATAGGGCAGTAACTACACTTTTTGAAATATAAATATAACATGTATATTTAACAGTCATCAAAAGATGATGTAAGAAGTGATGTGATTGGTCACTGAATCATGATTTGTGTGTATTATTTACAAGTGATTTGTGGACTGAAGAGCTAGCTGCAAAGTTTGTATACAATATGCAGTTAGCTGAAATTTGAACTGTGTTGTTGGGGACTGGTTTTATTTAATTAAACTATGCTGAGACTAGATGGGTAGATAGATTTCCAACTGCAAAGCAAGGACTTCCTTCCTGTCTCAACCTCAAGATCACTAGTTTTATATGGATTCCCTAATGCATAGTTACATAATAGGTCATCAGGAAAGAAATTGTTAACTAACGGGGTTGTGGGGGCTCTGGGGTAGGGGTGGGAGGCATTGAATGGATAAGTGAAGAATTTTTGCATGGGTTTTAGTTCTCTTGCTGTAGAGTCTTTAAAGATTAATTCCTGTCTTTTGCTTTCAGACAGCCGCATGCAAATTTGAAACTATATGTGCCTTGTGTTACAGGCTGACCTCTGTGTCCCTCGATTGAATGAAGGGGACCAAGTTGTACTGATAAATGGTCGAGACATTTCAGAACATAGCCATGATCAGGTTGTCATGTTTATTAAAGCAAGCTGTGAGAGACATTCTGGGGAACTTGTGCTTCTAGTCCGACCTAATGGTAAGTATTCTAGTACCACTATAATTCTTTCATAATTCATTGGTATATGTTACTGTACACAGTAGCCAGAGTGAACTTTTAAAAATAGGAGTCTTACTAAGTTAGTCTTCTGTTTGAACTGCAATGACTTTTATTCACACTGAAGTAAAATCCAATTGTGAACAAGCCCTGGTGCCTTATTGGGTTATATGTTGGTTTGCTAATCCCAAGGTCAGCGGTGTGAAAACAAATTGTTGTGATTTTTTTTTTTTAACTACTAAGCCGTTCCCATTCTATCACTCTGTATTATGCAGAATAAACTTAATCACGCTTCCTTCAATGTTTTTTTTCTTACAATAACTACTTGATATTACCAGAAAACGCACCTTCCCTAGTTTAACAACCCCAGGTTCTTCAGCCGATATTCATATCACCCTTTATAAGTTCCTTAAATACTCTGCCATTCATTGTAGGTAAATGCACATATATGCCTTTATCCCAGCTTCAGATATATGTAAATGGTTGAGAAAAATAGTTAGTGTTATAGTTTTGTTCTGAACCATTTACTGTCGTTAATCATAGTTCTGGCCACTAAAGTTTTACCCATTGGTGCTGGTGGTCGAATAATCATAGAAAGAGAAGTAAAATGTACTTCGAACTCTATTTATTCCCGATAACTCCCCACTCTGCAAACTTGCAAAATAGTTCCTTTTTTATTTGAAAATAATCCTTTTTGCCTTTTCACTTCAAACAAACATTTTCTTTTTTTAATCCTCAGTACTTTGTGTTCTGCATTTGTGATCTGGAGTGGACTCTAGGAAGATCAAAAGGACTTTAGTAGAACGTTTTTATTTTGACATTTCAAGGAACATGTTCATTTAAATATGATACTTACTATATTTGCTTTATTTCTAGGCATCCTATGCCATATAAAGAAATTTAAATGTTGCACCAAGTATAACTTTCTCTTAAGTTCATTTGTTCTGTGTTCTCCTGATAGAGATTCTCAACACCTTGCAATTAATATTAGCTAATAATTATTAAGTGGCCCACATCGTGTACTGGATTACAGATTGGGATGCTAATCACAGTCTTGAAAACCGACAGGGCCAGTTCTACTCTGTCTTTAGGGTCACTATGAGTCGGAATGGGCTCGGAGGCAGGGAAGTTGGTTTTAGAGTTAAATGCTTTCTAAATGTGTATGCCCGCTTTTTTAATCTCTTTTAACCCTCCCACTCTCAGTGAAATAGCTAAGTTCTTCCCACTTTAGAAATGGAGAAGCGCAGCCACCAAGACACTCAGTTACAACTCAGATTTGTGGCAGTACAGAAGAGCTCTAGTTAATGAGGAAGCAGCAGTGTTTTCATTTCTCCATGTGTCATTTATACTTTACTCTTAGGGTCGGCTTCTCACAAATGTCTGCTTTCAGAGATTGTCTTGTGCTAAAAATCTACACAGGGGCTGTAATTACTTTCAGTATAGGTCCATTTTCATTCCAATGACATAAAATCAAAATGTATAGTTGTGGTTGTTTAAAAAATGAAAAATTTGGATTTTTTTATTTCTTAGGCAAAACTTCTATATACCTTTTTGTCTTTTCATCCTTTATTTCAGAAATTCCTTTGTCTCAAAAACATATACTTATCTGACCAGGAATTGGGGTCCTTATACAAGGGCAAAAAGACCTCTTTGTGTCCAGTTTGCTCAGGGTAAACCACACCGTGTTTGCCTTTAGGCTACGTATTGGTTAGGAGGCAGCAGTTTGCAGACGGTTTCACAGGGATCAGGATGTGCACATTGATGCTCAGAGTTCTCCCACGTTTTCAAAAGGAGCTGAGGATCAGGAAGAAAACTGACCTCCAAGCTTAAGTCTAGGATCTTATTCCACTGGACTCAACAGAGTTCTCTGTTGAGATGTTATTTCCCAGGTTGTGTTAGGAATCTAGTTATCAAGAACGGGATAGAAAGACTTTGTGTAGCGCTTTGGTCCATTTATTTGTAGCTTTTCCTATTGAGACATATTACGTATGAAGTTCTCTTTGTATTCTTGCTCTAGGTTTTACAGATGTTCACGGCAAGTCTGTTCAGAGCTGCATAGTAGCAATTCTCCCATTCCGTAATGTTCCTTACTGTCATTTCCAACCATCATGCCAAGAACCTTATTTTTCATCATGTCAAACAAAGTTTTCAACACCATAAACATTCCCTGTCTCTACACAGTTACACCAGACCCAAATCTGGTATGATTCCTTATAAGCACGTTATTTATCCAGATACAAAATTAAAGTGCACAACCCAGTTCATATTGCCAGTTAATTAAGATTTTCATGTGCTCTTTTTGTTTTTAGCTGTGTATGATGTGGTGGAAGAAAAGCTAGAAAATGAACCAGACTTTCAGTACATCCCAGAGAAAGCCCCCCTAGACAGTACCCATCAGGATGACCACTCCCTGCGGGAGTCGATGATCCAGCTAGCTGATGGGCTTATCACGGGAACAGTCCTGACACAATTTGATGTAAGTAATATCACTGTACTGAAAGGGTATTTGCCCATTTTGGTGACTGTCATTGGCTCCATTCTTCACAATGTGTGGACATTCAAATTATTTCCATTTTCTGCTTATTTTGTTTCTAGTCTCCCTGCCCTCATACATTCTCCTCTTTGCTTGAAAGTCATGAGTGGCTGTGTTGATCTCATATAAGTGACTCATTAATGGTTGCTTAACTGACTAAATATTCTATCCCTAATAAATTATAAACTCAATGACTAGATAATTACGTTGCTCCCAAAATAATAGTTATGGTTATATAAATAGATTTTTGTTGAAAAGAGAAGGCTAAATTGATATGAAGGAGCACAGGCAAAGTGGAGACCCAAAAACCACCTGCAAGATAACTGGGCAGTCCTCACAGAAGGGTCCCATGGAAGGGGTGAAATATCCAGGGTGCAGTGTAGCACTGTTGAAACGCATAAGTGTCCGCTAGTTCTTTAATACTTCCTCCCCCTACTATTATGGCCTTAGTTTTACCTCATTAATCCTGTTAGACCTGCATATGTCCATTTGTATAATGAAGACCGTTTGATGCGTGAAATCCAAGATATATAAACCCTTCAGAAGTAGTAATGGGAGTAATGATTCCCTCAGGGTACATATAGGGGCGGAGGGGGATGGGATAGCAACGATAACTATATAACCTCACTCGAGGGGAACAAATATCAGAATGGTAGGTGAATGGATACATTGGATGGTGTGAGATATGGCAAAAGAAGAAGAATAGTACTTAATAAAAAAGGTTCCTGGGGGGTGGGCGGTAGAGGGCGGGGATAAAGGGGGCTGATATCAAGAAGAAAGAAAATGTTTTGAAAATGATGGTGGCAGCAATTGTACAGTCATGTTTGATCTAATTGAACTATGGATTGTTAAATAATATCTGTAAGAGCTCCCAGTAAAATAGGGAAAAATAGAAAAGAAAAGGGAGGGCTAAGGGAATTTTATACATATGCCATCAAACTAAATTTTTCTTTGTGTTATTAAGCAGTTGTATTTAGGAAATAATAGCAGTTGAGGAGAGACTATTGTATGCTTAAATAGGAAAATAACTTCTGAATAGGAAGTTTATATCTTATCATATTTAACTCTTTAATATCTGTCAATGATGTTGACTATTTTTAATACTTGTACTGAAGCACATATATTTTGTTAATTACAAAACATTAGTGCATGTCAGTTTTCCTTGGTTCGTACACTGTAAACATCCCCCAAAGTAATGAAATCTAAATGTTTTCTACAGATTTATTATTTTAAATTTTTGATGTTTTTCTTACTGTTCAAAATATAACATATAGTTCATGACAGAAATTGTGTAAAACTCAGCTAGGAAATCTGAAGATTCTGTACCCTGCTGGCCTAACAGGGATACCTCAGGTACTGTGGGCTCTGTTGCAGGCCCCAGCAGTAGGGCAAATATCACTGTAAGGTAAGTCATCTAGTTGTTCGTTTGTTTGTTTCCCAGTGTATTTAAAGTTATTTTTACATAATATTATTGAGTGTACAATAGCAATATGAAGACGTTTGAAATATATGAATTATTAAGCATCTATGAACCACAATAAAGTGCAATACAGTCAAACAAGATATGCCTGCTGAAAAAAAGAGGTCAGACATGCCTCTTGCCACCATCCTTTTATCTGTTCAGACACCAACTTTTCCTCCCACAACATTGTTCTTCTCCGCTGGGTTATATAACGCGTTGCAGTGGTCACCCAACTCAGCTAATAATCACAATTAAGAAGGTTTATTGGGGAAGTTAACAGATTGCCTCAGTCCAGTTAGTAAGGATACAATTATTGGTGCCCAGCAGCGGGTCTCTCTCCAGTCCTCGGCCTCTCAGACATGTGGTCTGGTCTCTTGGCCTCTAACTACCTGGGCCAGGAAGCCCACTTGTCTCTGCCTCATGGTTCCATCGTTTCTCTTGTAGCCCACTATACTTAGTATAGTTGGAAACAGTCATGTGGCTTGGTTCATACCCACTACGATGTTGTTGTTAGTTGCCATTAAGTTCAGCTAAGCACGGCTGGTCCTGTACCATCCTCGCAATTGTTACGTTTGAGCCAATTGTTCAAGCCACTTTGTCAGTCTATCTTGTTGAGAGTCTTCCTCTACTGGCCTCTCCTGATAACATATCCAAAGGACATGAGCTAAACTTTTCGTCCTTCCGAGGAACATTCTGATGGTATTTCTTCCAGACAGATTTGTTTCTTCTTGTACTATGGTGGAGACACAATCCCACCTTAATCCTGTCCATTAGAATAGCAGAAAACTCCCTCCAAAATTGTATTGCTGTAGGCCTAGAGACCAGAATGTACAGTATGTCACATATAGTAAGCAAGGTTAGGGCTAGAGAGGCAAATTAATTGACTACATCTGATACATCTGACACATATCATTGTAAAGAAATAACCTGTTTTCCTATTAATGTAGAAACAAGTCCAACAACAGAACAAAAATTGTGGCTTACTGGGCTTGTCTTATGCTTTTTTCTTTATTTCTCTTTTTTTAAAGCAACTATATCGGAAAAAACCTGGAATGACAATGTCTTGTGCAAAATTACCTCAGAACACAACTAAAAATAGATACAGAGATATTTCGCCTTGTAAGTATTTATTGTCTCTGAAAGTTGACTTTAGTCCTGTGACCATAACTCTGTTAAAACATGCTTACTTTCCCTCCCAGATGATGCTACACGGGTCACTTTGAAGGGTGACGAGGACTATATCAATGCAAATTACATAAATGTAAGTTTACTTTTATAATACCTTTGTCATTTGGAATGAAAGAGGCCACTATGAACTTGGACATGAGTTCTTTTTATTAAAAGGCTAAACTTGAGATTATCACTGCATTAAGAACTGATGGATGTTAGTAAAATTGCAGAGAAAATAGTTTGGTATTGACATACTGACAGACTGTGGAATCGAGTAATCCAGCCATGTTGCTTGCTGTCTGATGCTGTCGGGTGATTCCGTTGGTCGTAGCCCATATGAAAGAGGGAACTTCCGTCTGCTGCGGAGCACCGGAGTGCTTGGCCAAGGCTTTCACCACAGACCCACCTGAGCCATTCACCTTTGGCTGTGTATATGTTCTCTTAACTATTGCACCACCTGGCTCATCTGTGCCAGAAATAGGCTCAAATAATACTAGAATTTTATTTCTGCTAGAAGTAGCTTTTTCAATTGCTAACAAAAAAAGAGACTGCCCAATGAATGGGTTGGGTCAAACTCTAAAAATGGGGATTTGGGGATTTGGTTTTTTCCCCTGTAGGATAAAGAGATCACTACTTAGTTGTTTTTTAAAAAAACTTGGTAATATAGAAAAATTTAATTACGAAAAAATGGTCAACTAGTAACCAATTTTGTTTAGCAGTCCTCCTTCCCTATGATCCCACACTCAGATTGCTTTGAACTAGATCCCAGATATCAAACATTTGTCTCTTCTGTAAGTATTTTATTTGCTCACTCTTAACACCAAAATGTATTCCAGATATATGTGAATTATAATTGTAAAACCTGGAATCGTGAAGTACTTGAAGCAAATGCAGGGAAACCTCTGAGAGCCCCAGCTCACGGGCTGGCATCTATTGGTTGGGATCTAACACATTTGCTGCCTTTGACAGGGTGTTTTCGTGGGAATATTCTAATTTTCCTTCACTGACAGGTTTCCATGTTATACAGGTTGCAGCTTTCCATTTTCACTGTCCGTAAGAATTTGTTTTAATTGCATGGAAAAAATATTTAAGCTTAGTTACATGTCTAAGTTATAAAGAAAATATTGGTAAACTTGAAGCTATAAACTTTTAAATGTGACTTTTAAATACTAAAATCAAATGACAAAAGTTAGTCTAATTGATAAAAGATACGCAAAGAACACCTTAGAGTAGAAAATGTAAAGACCGTTTTTATAAGTGTTCTTCATAGCCATTTTCAAATCTACAAAAATAGAACAATGTGGAGCAACCCCCATATACTTATTGCCTAGTTCAACCACTATAACCAGTGGTCAGTCTTGTATGATGTAAACACTACTACTCCCTAGGAGTTAGTTTTAAAGCCCAAATAGCATATCACTTCATTTGTAAATATTTTAGTATGTGCCTCTGAAAAGACAGATATCTTTCTCTGTTTTGTTATTTTAAGTCAAACCCCAATACCCTTATAGCATCTTCAGAAATAGCAAAGCGTATTTAAATTAGAGATGAAGTCCAATCCACACAAAAAAGAATAAATCAGAACTTCAAGGAATTACCATTTTTCACATTAGAGGATCAAAAATTCGATAATAGTGTATACACTGCCACAATACTTTGCTATCAAATGAGTCCAGGTCAGTTTTATTTAAAAAGTAAAAGAAAAAAACCTTAGGTTTCAGAATTGTAAGTAGGGATTTGTAGGTTAATGAGTAAATGGAGAAACCAGCATTTCCTCAGACATTGTTGGTAGAAGTATTGATTCGTAAAATCTCTTTGGGGAACAATATGACAGTATCTATCAAAATGTAAATACAGCATTTTCCTTTTTCCCTGTGACCCATACAAATGTTTTTCTGCATATGCACGAAGAGGGTAGGTTTAAAAAAGCATTTAGTGCAGCCTTGTCATGTTTTAAGATTACCAGTAGCTTATATGTCTGTTAAATAAATTATGGTACATACCTACTTTAGAGCCACTTTTCAGAATGAAATTTTGTGCATTTGTCCAACATAAGCGCAAAGAAGAAGTGAAACAGTAAACGTGCTGAAAATGTTAGTGTGTAATGCCAGGCTGAGTTGTCCAGGGACGCAAACCCCGCGGCACTTGTATATGTATAAGAAAAACATAAAGATAAGCTCCATGTCATTTATCCAACAAGAAAATACACATCAAAAACCCAGAGAAGCCCATAGGTTGTTAAAATTAAAAGGACAGATAGTAGCCAGTGACAGCAGTGAGGTGGAGGAAGTGGAATACACTGATCCAAAGACACCCCCGCCCAGTCCAACTCGAGTCTGTTGTTGCAGGAGCCTCTTCAGACTCATAGACTGATAAGCAGAACATGACCGGGTACCCACAGCTCTCCTGGTAGGGACTCACATCGGGCCACCCCTGGAGGCTGACCACAGGTCCCAGCAAGGAGCAAGGAAGGTGAAGGGCACTAGAGGGGGAGAAGTTCTCAGAAAAGGCACAACCCTAAGGAAGCATTATGAACCTGATTGATAGGTTAGACTGCACTCCCACACTTGGACATGGGTACATAGTTGACTTAACAAACAAAAATTGATGTAAAATCTAACTGCAGCATTGTGCTACTATTTGTGCTTTACATAAAAATGGAAAACTAGGTTTTATCCTAAAACTAGAGTTTTTATCCTGAAACATGGGAAGCACACACTCGTTTGAACAATCAAACAGGAGGGCAGCTGTGCTAGGGATAAAGCTAAAAGACATTAGGAAAGAAGAGCAAATGGAAATGGTGAACAAAGGTAGAAAGTAGGAAGATTGGGGTTACATTGTAAGGATTGCAATCAGTAACACAAAACAAAAAATGTATGACTTGTGACTAGAAAGTCAATTCACTATTTAAACTTTCACCCAAGTCACATTTAAAGTTAAAAAAAAACCAAAAACCTTACTAAAATAAAATACCAGGCTTTTTTCTTATTGTTCTGATAATAGTAAACCACCAGCAGTATAACCTATTTTGTGTTCTTTTCCTTTAGATGGAAATTCCTTCTTCCAGCATTATAAATCAGTATATTGCTTGTCAAGGGCCGTTACCACACACTTGTACAGATTTTTGGCAGATGACTTGGGAACAAGGATCCTCCATGGTTGTAATGCTGACCACCCAAGTCGAACGTGGCAGAGTAAGTTACACTTGAATCTTGTGCATTGCTTGGTCTTTTTTCAAATTATGTTGCCTATAAAGTCTTCACTATTTTCTTTTGAATTCCCTTTTTGGTAACCCTTAAATTTCATTCCTTGGAATATGCTGAAAAAACCATATGGCTAACTGCCCAAAAGGAGGGTTACTAATAAATGTGATATAAGTTAACATCTGTTTGATAACGAACTTATATTTAGAATACATACTTAAAACTTAATAATAAAATTACCGCAAAATTAAAAATACACAGGATTTTCCATTAGACATTTTTCCGAAGATTTTTCTTCTTTTTCTTTTTTAAAGATTTTCCAAATGACCAATATAAACACATGAAAATGGGCTCAACATCATTTATTTATCAAGAAAATGCAATAAAAACCCGTAGAAGCCAATAGATTGTTAAAATAAAAAGCACAGCTAGTAACAGCAGTAGCAGTGATATGGAGCAACTGGAATACAAGTATACCATTAGTAGGGTTATAAAATAGTGTACCTGCTTTGAAAAGCAACCTGGTAGTTCCTCTACATCAACTAAACAGAGTTACCATATACCCTAGCCATTCCACCTCTCTGTACTAGAGAATTTAAAACAACGGCCACACACAAGCATACGGGTGAATGTACATAGCAGTGGTACAGCACTCGAATAGTGTAAACAATCCAAGCACCCATCTGCTAGTGCATGGATAAATTGATTAGTGGTTGCCTAAGTTTGGGGATGAGTAGAATAGGAAGAATGTGGAGTGACCACTAACCAATTTTTTTAGAGATCTCAAAATGTTCTAAAAGTGATGGTGGTAAAAGTTGTTAAATTGTGTGTGTGTGTGGGGGGGTACTATACATAAAACTTTCGTAGACTTCATTTCTTAAAATGTATAATTCAGTGACCTTCAGTTTAGTAACAGTGTTGTACAAACATCTATATAGATTTACATATTCCAGACACTTCATATCAGTGAAATCATAAAGCAAGATTTTTTTGTAACTGCCTTCTTTTAGCATGAAAATTTCGAAGTTCATCCATGATAGAGATCTATTTCTTATTGCCAAAAGATACTTCATTGTATAGCCATGGCATACACCCAGTACTCACTTATCAACATGGAAAGACTTAAGTCCTTAGGCAAAACTGAAAGGCTTAGGTCACAAAATAGAATGTATGAATATATCAGTATAAATGGTGACTTCCAGGGGAATCTGCTGGGCCAGTGAAACCCAAGGCAGAAAGTTAACCCGGAAGGTTACGCTAATGGGATTCCCAAGGGGTAATCTTGATAGATTTTCTTCAAGGACACAGGCCGATCATGGGGCCTTGTGAAGAAGTTTTAAGAAAAGTGAAAACTACCTTGGCCAAGAAAATTGTGCCGGATAATTTTTTTCCCATCACAATAATACACCTGCTCATTCGTCCAGAGTAACAATGACTGTCCTATAAGAATTTTCTTGTGGGGAATCTTACTCCATCTACCCTACAACTCTGATATTGCTCCTTCAGGATTCTTTATGTACCCCAAATTCAACATTTAATTTGGGGAATGCCAAAACTGCCATTTTGGCGTGGTTTGAATTAAAAACTGCTGAATTCTTTAGGAAAGGGTTACAGTAATGGAAACAAAGCCTTCAGGAGTGTATAGATCTAGATGCAGGCTTCTCATTCTTATATTCTTATTTAATAAAGGTATCGTATTTTGTAACTATGTTTTACTTACCCTCATGTATATGTGTGTATGTGTGTGTTTTGTTTGTTTTTAACATAATGCTATCAGATTAAATGTCACCAGTACTGGCCAGAACCCACAGGAAGTTCATCCTACGGGTGCTATCAAGTTACCTGCCACTCAGAGGAAGGAAACACTGCTTATGTCTTCAGGAAGATGACACTGTTGAACAAGGAGGTAAGGAAGGAGTATACATTCATTAGACATGAGTTCAATGTGTAAAAGATTTGAAATCTGATTTTTTAAAATATTTTTTTTATTTTAATGTGAGTACAATACTAGGAAATAGTACAACAATTATTGAACTGTTTATTAGCTAGGAATGTGTTTTAGATCAATCAGTGGTAATTTATTCAACTTCTGTTCAATTCTTTTTTTTTTTTTATAAACATTTTATTAGGGGCTCATACAACTGTTATCGCAATCCATACACACATCAATTGTGTAAAGCGCATTTGTACATCATTCTCAAAACATTTTCTCTCCACTTAAACCCCCGACATTAGGTCCTCTTTTTTCCCCTCCCTCCTCGCTCCCCCCTCCCTCATGAGCCCGTGATAGTTTATAAATTGGTATTTTGTCATATCTTGCCCTGTCTGACGTCTCCCTTCACCCACTTTTCAGTTGTCTGTCCCCCAGGGAGGAGGTCACATATAGTTCCTTGTAATCGGTTCCCTCTTTCCTACCCATTCTCCCTTTACCCTCCCTGTTTCGCCACTCACACCACTGGTCCTGTAGGGCTCATCCGCCCTGGATTCCCTGTATTTTCCGTTCCTATCTGTACCAGTGTACATCCTCTGGTCTAGCCAGACTTGCAAGGTCGAATTCCAGTCATGGTAGTGGGAGCGGGGAGGAAACATTTAGGAACTAGAGGAAAGTTGTATTTCTCATCGTTGTTACATTGCACCCTGACTGGCTCATCTCCTCCCCGAGACCCCTCTGCAAGGGGATCTCCAGTGGCCTACTAATGGGCTTTGGATCTCCACTCCGCACTCCCCCCATCATTCACTATGGTAAGATTTTTTGTTCTGATGATGCCTTCTACCTGATCCCTTCGACACCTCGTGGTTGCATAGGCTGGTGTGCTTCTTCCATGTGGGCTTTGTTGCTTCTGAGCTTGATGGCCGCTTGATTACCTTCAAGCCTTTAAGACCCCAGACGCTATACTTTTTGATAGCCGGGCACCATCAGCTTTCTTCGCCACATTTGCTTGTGTACCCATTTGTCTTCATTCTGTTCAATTCTGACAGCAATATTGTACTACAGTATTTCTTCCTCAGACCCTTATCCCAGATCTCAAGTTAAAGGGCACAGCCCTCCAGACTACAAAGACTGCCTAAGATTTTAGCTTCCCGAGCAACACCCTTATTATCAAACTGCTGGCTCTTCTTACTAGTCCATCAGGTTCAATAATTCCCTAGAACAATTCAGAAAGTATCTTTGAGAGAAGAGCAAACAGCATAAGTTTTGAAGGCCAAGGCCTGTCCCTTCAATGGCCTGTAAGCAGAAGCAGACTGCCACATCTTTCCTGTTGAGCAACTGGTGGGTTCGAACCACTAACATTTCAGTTAGCAACCAAGTGCCTTAACCTTTGCAACACTAGGGCTACCCCTTTGGAAATGGGAGCTGCACCACCACCATCACCCACCCCCAGGAATATTGAGTATTCCAGCAAAAGAGAACCTTATTGACCAAAATAAAGGAAAGAACTAGAATTGTTTTGTTGAAAAGGAATCTGGTATTGACACGAGTTACAATTATGAGAGATATAAAATTATATTAACTTTAAAAATTGTATGTGCTAGAATGAAGTTTGTGTTTGGGGTGTATATTATACTACTTATAGTCTAGTGTAACGAAACTGTGAAGTCAGTAAGGTAGGATTCCTTTTTCTAAACTGATAGGAAATATAAACTATATGTGCTTATTTATAAAGGAGCTGTGGGTTACACCTTGGGCTACTAACCACAAGATGAGTAGTTTGAAACCACTACGCTGCTCCAAAGGATTTGGAAGATGAGGCTTTCTACTCCCCAACAGAATTGCGGTCTCAGAAACCCACAGCAGCAGCTGCTCTGCCCCGTAGGGTCGCTGTGATCAGAATGGACTCAGGGGCACTGAGTTTGGTTTGAGCTTACAGAATAGAATGTTTATCTCCAGCATATTAGCAACCTCACCCCCCAAAAACCTTGTTTCCTTGGTGTTTGGATTTTAGACCTGTTCCCAGGGTTTGGAGGGGCACTGGCGCAGAAAACTGTATTCGATAGACTGCATTAGCGCTAATTTCTTATGTACGGTGTGCCACTGTATTTTCAGCTATTAAATTATATTCATTTATTCTTCGTTTAAAACATAAGCAGATTTCAGACCCACAAATTCAAAAATGAGACAAAATGATAAAAAACTTGAAATATTAAGGGACTTGCCCCAAAACTATATATGCAGCCATAGTGACTTATTTGCTAATACATTTGGTAATACAATGAGCTGCCAATCATAAAGTCGGTGGTTCGAATCCACCAGTCACTCTGCAGCCTTTAAAAGATTTAAAGTTTGGATTTTCATAAATTTTTTTTTCAAATAATGCTCTAAATTTTTTCAAAAACATCTTAATACATATAGAAGTCAGTGGATGATGTGTGTGGATGGATTGTGATAAGAGTTGTATGAGCCCCTAATAAAACGATTTAAAAAAAAAGAAGTCAATAGATAAGTTCATGGTAAATGTTGCAGAGGTGAAGCTTCTTTATAAGAAAAATTCTAACTTTTAAGAGTGGAGAGGTTGTGCCTTCATATAACAAGACTGGGCCATTTTAATTTGTAATAAAGGGTTTTGACATGGCAGACCCATTTTGGGTTTCAGAATATTCAAGTCACTATTTATTGTACCAGACTCACCAGACTCGTCCAGTGTCCCTGTGCAACAGAGTGGAACTTGTTTGGGTTTCTGAGGCTGTCAGTCTTTATGGGAGTAGTACGTCTCTTCTTTCTCTTGCAGAATGGTGGTGGGCTCCAATTGCTGACCTTGTGGTTAACTGTCCAACACATAACTCACTACACCATCGGGGCTTTTTATTTATTGTACAGTGACTATTCTTTCTGGCCCCCTTTTTAAGATAGCAAATTGGAACTGGCCTGCTATTTCGTTCCTAATAAAGGTTAAGTAATGCTTGGCGTAAACTCCGAAGTTCATTTGATTGGCAGTGTTGATATATATCTTTGGATCAAATAACACCATGTGAAGTATAACTTGCCCTAATTATTTAGTACAACACAAACTTTAAAAAATACAGCCAGCATGAACTTTCTCTTTGTCGGCCGAGCTAATACAACATTAAAATATCCTGATTTTCTTTTATGAGTGAACAGAGTGAAGAGTGGTATGTGGCATATGTCTATATCTGATAGCAGAAAACTGAAGTTCCTTTTGGAAATCAGCAGGTCAAATATACCCAGCAACAAGTCTAACAATTGGGGCATCAAAATGTGTACTGACCAGTGTTATGTTACCTCTTCCTTTCATACTCTTTTATGAGACCACCCTTTCATGTGAATGGCAATAGCTAAATTCGTGCTGTTGAATGTTGTGCTGTTAAAGCTACCAATAATTGAACATTTGGTGCCTAGCACCTGATTAGATCATCATAAGGCTACGTAGTTGACGTGTAGATGTTATTTTGTCAGTTTAGGAAATTGACACTCTGACATGCTAAGTACCACAATCGGCATGATGAAGATTTGAGCCTAGATACATATTCTTTCCATTATTCATAACTCCATTATTCTAACCACTGGCCCCTCAAAAAGAAATAAACTCTGATTGGCCTTGGTGAGTTTATGATCTCCAGTATTTAATCTATATTTAGTTTCTGAGATTCTACTTTTCTAATTTCCCAGATTTCACCTCTTTGTCAGGATTAACACAACTTTATTCAGAAAAAAAATTTTTCCCCCATCCATTTTTCCTCTGACAGTTCTAGTTTCTCTAGACCATAATATGTTTTATATTGCTTGCTAATCACCTTTATCCTTTAAAAATACCAAAATTGAGCTGTATAGAGTATTTATTCGTAGAAAGAATGCGATATTTTTTCTACAAAATGATTGCTGTTCATTTTACTGACATTTCAGAGTTAAGTGAGTGTATATATTTCTGGTTTTGTGGGTAAAGGAAAAGAGTTCTTTTTATATTTCTTGTAAAATTAAAATGTTATGAATATTTATATTTTAAAGATAATTCCTAAACCAAGGTGCATAATTTTGTATTTACACGTAGAAAAATGAGAGCCGTCAACTCACTCAGATCCAGTATATAGCCTGGCCTGACCACGGAGTCCCTGATGATTCAAGTGACTTTCTGAATTTTGTTTATGATGTACGAAATAAAAGAGCCGGCAAGGAAGAGCCTATTGTTGTTCACTGCAGGTATCTTACTTTTATCTTTGAAGAAAGACTGGTTATTTACTTTATAAATAAATACTTAAGAATAGAGAAGTTCTTTTTAAAATACATATGCATTTTATTTTTGTTGTTGTTTTGATTGATGTTATGATAGTTAGGGATAAATCAAAGCTGAACTATTAGTATAAGCAGCAAAGGCATGTTCCAGCATATACAGGCAGAAACTTTATCATGAAGTGGTAAAATGAATATGTTATTAGCCTACCTCTTAGAAACTCCTCTTTTTCTTCCCTCATACTTTGACACTGCTGAATTGTAGATACTCAGGATTGATAGAATCATAGATTTGATGAATTATAATGTCCTAGGCATTAGATTTCATCCTAAGGTTTAGATTCCCAACCTCCAAGGTAGATAGTTCTCTCTGGTTTGTGACACCTTTTAGGAGATTCACTGAGAGAGTACTCCCACCTTTCTTGGAATGACGTCATGAGATACATCATTTCCAGGACCTCCCAGGAAACACTGGCAGGCTGTAGGTTCCCAAACTTGGCTTACCACACACTTTACTGGAAAAAAGTTCCATTGCCCCCCAGGGGGCAATATTGTCCACTTTGGGAAACACTGCTTTAGACCTAACTCCGCTTCTGCCCACCAAGGGCCCAACACAGTAACTCTGTCTAATCTTCGCTGCCGCTGACTCGGAGAGGAGGAGAGAGAGGTTGTTCCTAGGCCTTCTCTACTGTGACCACCTTTGTTAGAAAGTGATTTACTTAGAGGATGTATAGACGTACCCCTATTCTTCAATTTCTCAGCACTGACTAAGAGCCTTTGAAATCATCAAAACATTGTAGGCCAAAATTTGGGATGTGAAATGAAGGGGATGGTGAAATACATTTGTTCGTTTTATGTCCTGTATATCCAAATGCCAACTGTATTAAAATCACAGAGCAAACCTCAGTGATTTGTTCCTGGCTGTCTCAGTGGGAAGTTTAATTAAAATTAAGTTTTAGTTCAAAGAATATTTCTGCAGGAATATAAAATATCGTTGACTCTTTTGCATTTATTTGCTAGTGATTTATTGTAATTTTGTTGTCTGCATTTAAAGGGGGTTTCGCTCTCTACTAAAGTTTTGTACCATGTTTAGGTTTTCAAAACTGAATTTTAAGTAGCATTTTAAAATTAACAGCACGCAGAAACCATTTGGTTTCTAATAAGTGAGTTAATGAAGGGTACACCACTTGTCTGTAAGTTTATCCAGCTGCAATGGTTTGCATGGTGCTATGCTGCTGGAAGTAATACCACCAGTATTTCATATACCAGCAGTCACCCATGGCACACAGGGTTAGGAAAAGCTACAAGGGTAAGACAGACTAGGGAGAAGGAAGAAACTACACTCCTGAGAGATGACCCATCAAAAACGTTAGGAACAGCAGCAGAACGTTGTCAGATGCAGTGCTAGAAAGTGAGCTGCTTAGGCTGAAAGTTGCTTACTGACATGGGTAGTCATTGACTAATGAGACAGGAATCGGAATGTAAAACAGTTACAAACATCTAATTATCGGAAAATGCAATATATGAATTATGAAGCTAGGAAAGTTGAAATTGTCAATAATGAGAAGGAATGCACAACAATCAATACCTTGGCATTAGTGAACTGAAATGGATTGGTATTGGCCATTTTAAATTGGACAGTCACATCATTTACTATGCTAGGAATGACAAATTCAAGACGCCCCATTCCTCGTCAGATTTGTCGTCAAAAGTGCATTTCAACATCTATTTTGAAGTATAATATAATCTGATAAACTAGCGTCTACACACCTACAAGGAAACACAGTTAATATGACTGTTAAAGCTACTGATGAAAAAATTGAAGATATCTACCAATTTCACCAGTCTAAAGTTGATATCAAACATGCACTCCAGGTGCATTGATAATAATTGGCAAATGGACTGGGGGGGGTGGGGGGTGGAGAGAAATGTCAGTAATGAGAAAATATCACTTTGGTGATAAAAATGAAACCGGAGATCCCATGATGGAATTTTGCAAGATCGTTGGCTTTTTCATATATCTTTACCAGTGGCAGCTATGCACCTAGACCTTGCCAAATGGAATACCCAGGAACCACAGTGACCGTCTGTGGGAAGAAGCAATGGGAGAGGCTCAACATCATCAGCTAAAACAAGACCAGAGACCAATTGGAACCATGAATTGTTCATACGTAAGTTCAGGTTGAAGCTGAAGAAAATTACAAGTCCATGAAAGCCGAAATGCAACTTTGAATATATCCCATCCAAGTTCAGATAGCATCTCAAGAACAAATTTAATGCATGGAGCATAATCTTTTGAGTTGTGGGATGACATCAAGAGCATCGTACATGAAGAAAGATAAATGACCTTAAAAATACAGGAAAGAAAGAAAAGACCAAAGTGGATGTCAGAAGAGACGCAAAAACTAGAATGGAAGAAACGATGAGGAAAATAAAACGGAATATAATATCTCAAAGGGCAGCTTGAGAAGACAAATGAAATGCGCAAAGATCTATTGAAGGAAGAAGTCCACGTTGCATTGACAGCATTTGTGATTGAGGAGGTTCTAGAAATACCAATTGAAATGTTTCAATAAATGGATACAGCGCTGGAGGCTCACGTATCTATGACAAGAATTTAGAAGAACAAACTGGATGAGATCCATAGTCAATACTCATTCCAAAGAAAAATAGTCCAAGAAATGCAGACATTATCCATCAATATTATTAGTATCACACACAAGTACACTTGCTGAAGATAATTCATAATTGGTGGCAGCATTACATTGACAGTACTTAGAGAAATTCAAGACAGGTTCAGAACCAGATTTAGAAGATTTATCATTGTAATAGGAGGTGAATCTTGACCCAGAGCCAAGAATACCAGACAGATGTTTATCTGTGTTTCATTGACTGTGCAAAGGCATTTGACTGTGAATCATAACAAATAATGGATAACATTGCAAAGAATGGGAATTTCAAAACCCTTAAATGTACTCATGTGTAACCTGTCCTTAGAACAAGAAGCAGTTGATGGACAGAACGAAATATGCTGCCTGGATTAAAATCCAGAAATATATATGTCAAGGTTGTAGTTTTTAAAATCACATTTATTCAGTTTGTAGATTGAGCATACAATAAAGTTAGATGATATGAAGATGAAGTGATACCAGAATTGGAGGGAGATTCTAACAGTCTCATGTATGGATGAGACAACCTTTCTGGCTAAAAGAGAAGAGGGCTTAAATCATTTGCTTTTGAAAATCAAAAGCTGCAGCCTACACAATGGAAAATCCTCACAATTGGACTAATAACCAGTGTCACACTAAACAGAAAATGTTAAAGAATTCATTTTGCCTAGGTCGGCTATCAGTGCCCGTGGAAGCAGCACTGAATCAAATATGTACATTGGCCACATGTAGAAAAGATCTCTATAAAATATACAAAAGCGAGAGATCACTTAAGAAGTAAGGTGCACATCATCCAAACCTTGGTCGGTCGGTCGGTCGGTCTGTCTTTCTTTCTTTCTCTCTCTCTCTCTCTTTCTTTATCATTTTATTGGGGGCTCATACATCTCTTAATCACAATCCATATATCCATCCATTGTGTCAAGCACATTTGTACATTTGTTGCCATCATCATCCTCAAAACATTTGCTTTCTACTTGAGCCCTTGGTATCAGCTCCTCATTTTTCCTCCTCCCTACCCCACCCTCCCTCCCTCACAAACCCTTGATAATTTATAAATTATAATTATTTTTTCACGTCTTACACTGTCCGATGTCTCCCTTGACCCGCTTTTCTGTTGTTTGTCCCCCAGGGAGGGGGTTATATGTAGATCCTTGTGATCGGTTCCCCCTTTATTGCCCACCTTCCCCTTACCCTCTTGGTATCACTACTCTCATTATTGGACCTGAGGGGATTATCTGTCCTGGATTCCCTGTGTTTCTGACTCTGATCTGTACCAGTGTGCTTCCTCTGGTCTAGCTGGATGTGTAAGGTAGAATTGGGGTCATGATAGGGGACTGGGGGTAGGAAGCATTTAGGAACTAGAGGAAAGTTGTATGTTTCATCGTTGCTATACTGCACCCTGACTGACTCGTCTCCTCCCCGCGACCCTTCTTTAAGGGGATGTCCAGTTGCCTACAGATGGGCTTTGGATCCCCACTCTTCACTCCCCTCATTCACAATGATTTGATTTTTTTGTTCTTTGATGCCTGGTACCTGATCCTATTGAGACCTCATGATCACACAGGCTGGTGTGCTTCTTCTCGGCTTTGTTTCTAAGCCTAGGTATTTTCAATTACTTCATAGCATGGGGGGACTGCGGAGTGGAGATCCAAAGCCCATTAGTAGACCACTGGAGATCCCCTTGCAGAGGGGTCTCGGGGAGGAGATGAGCCAGTCAAGGTGCGATGTAACAACGATGAGAAATACAACTTTCCTCTAGTTCCTAAATGTTTCCTCTCCGCTCCCGCTATCATGACTGGAATTCGACCTTGCAAGTCTGGCTAGACCAGAGGATGTACACTGGCACACATAGGAACTGAAAATACAGGGAATCCAGGGCGGATGAGCCCTACAGGACCAGTGGTGTGAGTGGCGAAACAGGGAGGGTAAAGGGAGAATGGGTAGGAAAGCGGGAACCGATTACAAGGAACTATATGTGACCTCCTTCCTGGGGGACACAACCGAAAAGTGGGTGAAGGGAGACGTCGGACAGGGCAAGATATGACAAAATACCAATTTATAAACTATCAAGGGCTCATGAGGGTAGGGGGAGTGAGGAGGGAGGGGGGAAAATGAGGACCTAATGTCGGGGGTTTAAGTGGAGAGAAAATGTTTTGAGAATGATGTACAAATGCGCTTTACACAATTGATGTGTGTATGGATTGCGATAACAGTTGTATGAGCCCCTAATAAAATGTTTTTTAAAAAAAAAGAAAAGCATATGAAAGCAATGAATAAGGAAAACTGAAGAAAGAATTTGATACCTTTGAATTTCGGAGTTGATAAAGAATACTGACTATACTATGGAGTACCAGAATGAACAAATTGGTCTTGGCAGAAGTACAACTAGAATGCTCTGTAGCGATGCTAATGAGACTTTCTCTCATGTACTCTGCACGTATTGGGAGGCACTTCCTGTCCCTGAAAAGTGGTATCATACTTGACAAATTCATGTCAAGGAAAAAGTAGAAGACACTTGGCAAGATTGATTTGACACTGTGGCTGCAACAATGGGCAAGAATTTTGTGGAAGGCCCAGGGCCAGGCAGTGTTTTGTTCTGTTGTGAACAGAGTCACGATGAGTGGACACTTAACTATGTCTTACAACAGTTAAATTGAGTGAATTTCCTTTTCAAATATTCTCCTGTTAGTTTTGCAATGGATAATGTTAAAATCAAAGTGTTCTTGTACTATCTTATAATTCAGTACTTTAATTTTTCATTCAACAGCCACAAAAAGTTTAACAGAAAAATAATAGTGAGTCTTTCCCTTACATTTGCCTTTTTAGTGCTGGGATTGGCCGAACGGGGGTTCTTATTACTATGGAAACAGCCATGTGTCTCATTGAATGCAATCAGCCAGTTTATCCACTAGACATTGTACGAACAATGAGGGATCAACGAGCCATGATGATCCAAACACCTGTAAGTACTGTATTCCATGTACAAATACATAACTGTGACATGATTTTCATCAATGTGCATTATCAACTTTTTTTTTTTCCCCTAATTCCTTACCTGGAGCTAATAATCCCGAGCAACAAGGTTGGTAAACTGCTGCCCACAAGACAAACCTAACCTGCCATTTGTTTGTTTATACATGTCGACTGTTTTCACAAATAGCACACTATTTACTATCTGGCCCTTTACTGAAATGGGTTGCCAACACCATTCCTAGCATTTTAATTCTGGACATAATTCTAAACGGCCTCAGAGGAACTTAACCTTGTATTAATTAGTGCAGTGGATTACTGAGAATGATAGCATCCCTGAAGTGGAGATTTTTTATTTAATTGGCTTCATGGAAATTTACCGTGGGGAATTTGTCTTTCTGTTTTATATAAAAACATAATTTGCAGCAAAATAAAATAATAGAAGTCAAGCTCTTGTGTTTTTTTATTTACTGTGAATTTTGCTCCATGACTGAAAAAGTGGGATAATGGAATTTTAGTGTTAAAATCATTTATATTATTAACCCATTATGAATGTTACTAAATGTCAAATACACAGTAGTGGACAAAATAATATAATTAACAACATGTTGGATATGCAGGCCCTTATGCCATTGTAGTTCATCTATAGTGCCACTTGATGCCTCTATATTTGAAGTAAATCCTAGCTATAACATTTAATATATAAATATTTTAGTACGTATCTCTAAAAGATAAGAATTGTTTTTCCTTTTTTTAAAAATAAAGCCACAATATCGTTATCACACCTAAGGGTAGTTAATAATTCCTTAATATATCATATAACCAGTATTTAAATATCCGTTTGTCTCATAAAAGTCATTGGTGTCATGGTGGGTGTAAGTTAGGCTGCTAATTGCAAGGTCCGCAGTTCGAAACCACCAGCAACTCCAAGGGAGAAACACTGGGCTTTCTACTCCTGTAAAGCATTAAAGTCTCAGAAACTCGCAGGGGCAGTCGCTGTAAGTCAGCATCAACTCCATGGAGCAGGGACTTGAAGTTTGGTATTGAGACATGTAACTCATATACCATAAATAGACTTTTTAAAAGTAGTAAGTTGCTTTTATAGAGTCACAATTTTATAGTCATTACCACTATGTACTTCTAGAATTTTTTATCTTCCCGGAAAGAAACTGCACACCCATTAGCAGGCCCTCCCAGTTCTTTCCAAGTCCCAGTTCTAACCTGCTTTCTGTGTCTGTATAGGTTTGCTTATTCAGGATATTTTGAATAAATGGAGTCGTGCAGCTTTTGGTCATTGGTGACTATTGTCTTTAAATGAACATACTGTTTTAGGTTTTGCATATTGTGGTATTATTAGGGTCCTTCAAAGTGTTCATTGGAAAAGTTCATTATCTTTTCATTTTATTTTTATACGAACTCATTGAATAAACCTTCATATTAGTACTCCATCCCTTTGTATTGTTAAACAATATTCTTTTGTATATAAATGCCACATTTTGTTTATCCATTTATCAGTTGTGAATTATCGTGTTATCCATGTTCAAGTTTTTGTGTAGTCAGATAGATTCTGTTCTCTTGGGCATATAACGAATTGCTAGGTCATAGTGTAACTCTGCTTAACCTTTTGAGGAATTGCCCAGCTGCACCATAGCCATACCAGCATACCATGAGGATTTCGTTTTTCTCCACATAACGGTCAGCAGTGGCTATTATTTTTTTTTCCTGTGATCGTTTTTTTAGCGGCTCAGACAACTCGTATCACAATCCGTACATACATCAATTGTGTAAAGCACATTTGTACATTCATTGCCCTCATCATTCTCAAAACATTTGCTCTCCACCCAAGCCCCTGGCATCAGCTCTTCCAGTGGCTATTATTTTAATGTTTCATTTTTTATTCGGGTTATTGGTCATCTTGTAAAAATTCTTAGTATCTTCTGGATAAGTTCTTTGTTAAATGTATGATTTGCAAATATTTTATCTTATTCTGTAAGATGTCTTTCTACGACTGTCTCTAACCCAAGTTACCACATGTCTACCCTCTAGATGATGTCATATGAAGAATAAAAGTTTTCTTTTTTTTTTTTTAAATCACTTTATTGGGGGTTCGTACAACTCATCACCATACGTACAGCCATTGTGTCAAGCACATTTGTACATTTGTTGCCATCATCGTTCTCAAAACATTTGCTTTCTGCTTGAGCCCTTGTTATCAGCTCATTTCCCCCCCTTCCTCCTACCCCCCCCTCATGAAGTCTGGATAATTTATAAATTACTATTATTTTGTCATATCTTACACTGTCCAACGTCTCCCTTTACCCACTTTTCTGTTGTCCATCCGGGAAGTTTTACTTCTTTATAGAAATCCAAATTTATCTATTCTTTTATTTCTTGGTCTTAAAATGTCATATCATATCTAAAAAACCATTGCCAAGATCATTAAGAGATACTTCTATATTTTTTATTAAGAGTGTTACAGTTTTATTTCTCACATTTAACACTGTGATCCATTTTGCATTATTTTTATATTTGGGATAGGTTAGTTCAACTTCATTCTTTTATATATAGCATTGCAACACCATTTGTTGAAGAGGTGCTTCATCACCCAATGACTTGTCTCTAGATCTTTATCAAAATCAGTTAGCCAAAACTGTAAGGATTTATTAATAATTAATATCCATTAGTTTATCCTTATCTAAGAAGTATTCATAATTGTGTCTCCTGTATGCTGCACATATCCATAGCTCTGTGTGTTCATCCTGAGCGTGTATCTGCATCTACTCTTAGACCACAGTTATTGCAAACTTGTGTATATAACAGGATTTAGCTCTCTTGCCTTTAACTCATATTCTCCTCCCAATGCCTTCGTATCCCACCTCAAATTTTTGCCAGCCTCCCTCTTACTGTTTTTTTTTCTTCTCCTTCACCCAACTTAGCATGTGTCTACCCTCTAGCTAATAACTTACCTCACCTCTCCCTCCCAATCTTGGTAACTATCAAAGAATATTTCTTACAGCATGAAAACATTTCTTTTTGTAACAGTAGTCCTGATTCTAAGTTCACAGCATAATGCTGTCCTTGTTTGTCTATGTTATAAGGTTTTTTCATAGACTTATAGTTGATATTGAGTGTCCCGTGGTATTCCATTGTGTTTGTGTATCATTTTTATCTAGTCTTCCATTAATGGGCATATAATTCATTTCCACCTTTGCTATTACGAGTAGTACTGCTATGCACGTGGGTATGAATATATCTATTTGCACGGTGACTATTATTTTTCTAAGATATATACCAAGTAGAACATAGCTTCCCAATTTTATTTGACCTACTACATTTTCAGGGAAAAAGTAATCAACACCCAGCTTGCAATTTAAAATTTTTGTGCTATAGCCCGTAATCTGGGATAAAGTTTAAGTACCTGCTTTTGCAGCCCCCTGGATCACTGCAGCACCCCTCGTTGGGTTGGTATTGCCCACTATGGGAAACACTGAACTAGAGGGGCTCCTCAGAGGTTCCGTAGCTTTGCTTTGCTTTGCTCTATCTGCTGGTCTGGTATGTGCTCTTCATATCAAGCTGTTTTGATTACCTTGGATACAGGTTTTAAAATCTGAAAGTGAAAGGCTACCTACTTGGTTTTTTAATAGTATTTTGTTTATCCTGGGTTTCTTTCCTCTAAAGTTTTTCCATTTCTTTGAAAAATTGTACTGGTATTTGGATCAGAATTGCAGTGAATTTGTTAATTATTTTTGGTGATATTGACATTTTCACTACAGTTAGTCTTCCTACCTAGGACCATGGGGCATTCTTCCATTTGTTTAAGTATATTAGTTTATCATCTTTGGAATAGCTATTGTAAATAGTATTGTTCTTTTAATTTCTGTATTGATTTCATTTTCTTTAATACACAAGATTCCAACTGATTTCTCTAGGTTGAGCTTAACAGCCTGCTACATTGCCAATTTTTATTTTACCTTATTTTTTAATCATTTCATTAAGGATCTTACAGCTCTTATCACAATCCCTACAAATATCCATTGTGTCAAGCACATTTTTACATACACCTATGTTGCCATCATCATTCTTTCTACTTGAGCCCTTGGTATCAGATCATTCCCCCCTCCTCCCTCCCTCGGGAACCCTTGATAATCCATAAATTATTGGGGTTTTTTTTTCATGTCTTACATACCGCTGTCTCCCTTCACTCACTTTTCTGCTGTCCCTCCCCATGGGAGGGGGTTGTATACCAATCATTGTGATCGGTTCCCCCCTTCTCCCTCCACCTTCCCGTTACCCTTCTGGTATTGCTACTCTCATTACTGGTTGGGGGAGATTATCTGTCCTAGATTCCCTGTGTTTCCAGCTCTTATCTGTACCAGTGTACATGCTCTGGTCTAGCCATATTTGTAAGGTAGAATTGGGGTCGTGATAGTGGGGAAGGAGGAAGCATTAAAGAACTAGAGGAAAGTTGTAGGTTTCATCCGTGCTATACTGCACCCTGACTGGCTCATCTCTTCCTTGTGACTCTTCTATAAGGAGATGTCCAGTTGGGCTTTGGATCTCCACTCCGTGCTCCCTTCATTCACGTTGATAGGATTTTTCGTTCTGGGTCTTTGATGCCTGATCCCTGATCCCATCAACACCCCATGATCACACAGGCTGGTGGTGTGCTTATTCCATTTGGGCTTCGTTGCTTCTCAGCTAGATGGTTGTTTGTTTATTTTCAAGCCTTTAAGACCCCAGATGCTATATCTTTTGATAGCCGGGCACCATCAGCTCTATTCACCACATTTACTTATCCACCCATTTTGTCTTCAGCGATGGTGTCAGGGAAGGTGAGCATCACAGAATGCCGGGTTATTTGAGAATAAAGTTTTCTTGCATTGAAGGAGTACTTGAGTAGAGGCCCATTGTCTATCTACTGCCATAATACTTAACATATAAATAGATGTACAAAGATATATTTCCCTATCGTTTAAATATATTTACCTATGT